ACCTAAGCCTTCACAAATGCAACATCAAAAATCAAAAACCTCCCGTGAAAGAAAAAGATCAAGTTTGATGGCCATACAAAAACAACAAGAAGAAAATGTCGCTATACTTGCAAACACCAAAGGAGATGGACCGATATATCAGGAAATCAATAGTGTCATGATCGAAATAGAAAAGTTCCGTGCCAGGTTGCATGAACTGAGTAGAGTTCAAGAGCAACAGAGCGAATCCGACGAGCCAGAATTTCTTCCCGACTCCGAGAACTACGAAGAGCGACTCGAAATCAACGAAAAAATGACGCAAGCCGTGCAGAATCAACTCGCCGTAGTTCGCCAGCATATCTCCAATATACTGGATAATTATGAATCATTAGACGAAAACCTTCTCCGAGTCATCATGACCTATAATGAGGAGGTTAACATCGCGTTACAAGAAGCGCTGCAAGAGGTTCCAAGTCTTTATCAACATCAACCCCCCTCACCCTCGTTTCAGTCCGAGGAAACGGATTTTCAAAAAACCATCGAGACCCAGGCCATACAAATCTACTTCTTGGAGAAATCAAATTTCAATAACATCTTTCAACTCATAAACGATATCGACCAGTGTCAAGAACTTTTACTTAATTTTACAAATTTGAAAGGCATGGATGAAAATGACTTGATCATAAACCTGGATGAGATTCAGGAACTATTATGTCAGTATGAATGCAAAACACAAATTGACGAGGAACATCAACACCACGAGTGGGCTAACCAATTTATTAGCGGATTGTTGCAACGTCGCGTACTTGAAACAATATTGGAACATTCGGATATTTATTTTAATGGATCTTTCCACGATTCAAACATACAGACAAAACGGGAAAGTTTTCTCGGGCGAACAAAATTCACCGACTTCGCGAATCCCTTGTTAAATATGAATCCCGAAGTTTACACGGTGCTCGGGTCAAAGGGTTACGACGGGTTCGATCATCCTTTCATTGAATTCGTGGCCGGAAAGATTGCGGCGATCATGAATCAGTATTGTAATATCAAATCTCCCAAAAGGGCACTACAGATCGAGGAGATGTCATCAGATGTGGTCTACAGTGTTATAAATATTTTTTATTTTAGAATGCAAGCTCAAGATCCCCCCTCTCAATTTCGATGGGTGGAAAATGGGGAAAAGATCGATTTGGAGATGATGAGAGGTGATTGGGATTCAAAATTTGATGATTTGATAGTTGATCTCAATTATTTCCCGATTGTTGGTAGGAAGTTGTTGAACCAAGATAAGTTGAAGGTATACTCTAAAGCGAAAGTATGCCCATATCGTCGTCCAAAATCCTTGACCGATGGTTTACCAGGAGCATGGTCAATTTAACAGTTTGATCGATTACGTAGATTTTCGAATCCATTCACCTCAAAGATCGAAAAAAATGCATGAAATAAAAATGAATTAAAATCTTTTTTATTATAGATTTATTTATAAATTAAAATATTTGACGAATTGTACATATACATACAGTATACCTTTTACCTCATCCCTAATTTAATTTTATGATCTGATGAATTCTTATTTTTAAAAAAACGACCGAAATTGCGTCCGAAGGGGGGGAGGGGTTGATATCATCTAAATGCTTCATCTATAGTATGATAGAATTAATTAATGCTCATCACAACCAAATGTACAACGGACACCCATTGTACAAGCAAGCGCATGGAATCTTTCTCTTTTCAATTTCAATTTGCACATAATAAAATTATCATCTCTTCAGACAACCCTTTGCGAGTAAATACGTGCGCATATTTTCATATCCCATCCCTTGTTCTCTCGTCTATAATATTATACCAGTATATAGCCGGAAGGACATTGGCGCAAAGATAAAAATTATTGGTGCCGCCGAACGAATATCTCTCGAATGTTCGCCTGAAATAACCCGCAACCTCTGTATTTTTAAATCATACACAATATGAAGGAAAAGTGCGTATACGCATATAATTACGCCTTACTCTAATACAGTACACCTTGCATACTGTATATTATATAAAAGTCATACGAATGTTCCTTGCGAAAAAAAAAAAAATGCACATTATCAATCTATCGATTAAGCTTAGTCAATTTCGACTGTCCAAGATTTACTCAGTACTATAGAATCAATGACTCGATTCAATTAACAAATAGTGAATAGTGAATCATTACTTTTCGAACCTCACGCGGGCATGTCAGATTTGCATATTTCGAAACGGTCTTGATTTTAATAATACGTGATATACTGCGTTAAAAATTGATTTTATTTATCAAACATAAGGTCTACTATGAAAACATGATTACAAAATTGAAAATAAAATACGTAATAATACAAATATATGAAAGATTAATAATTAAAATTAGGTATCCAAAATTTTGCTCCATTGAGCTGGTTTGTTCTACATCGTGTTTCATTTACTATATACAAAAAATCGATCGACGAATTATAAATTAAATGACATGGTAGAGTCTTTGACATACAATTTTACAGTTCTTTCATTTGTCCATTCGAAATAGACGGATTCCAGTATTGAAGAGATTGATAAATCCGCTAATTGCATTTGACATGTTCATTTGACAATTCGAATGTATATATATATATATATTATTATTATTAAATTAACGGAAGTTGATCAAACAACGAGATATCTGAACATTTAAAGTTATGACTCACCGTCCTCTCCTAGGTTGAATCCAAAAGTTTTAATGGGCTTGACGGAACTCGATAAAGAACCCTTGAATCCCATCTTGACACCTTTGCTCGTTTCATTCCTAGAAAACACCGAGTGACCGCCAACGCCATTTATTCCATTTCTGCTACTGCCGTTTCCTCCAGCTGTTCCGCTGCCCCCCCCATGCGTCAGTGATCCGGCAATCATGCCTAGAAAACCTGGATTCGGGTTCCACACCCGAACTGTTCCTTCTTCGAGCGAACAGGACACGATAATCTTTCCATCCCCTGAAAATGTTATCGCGGTAACCGCTTTCGTATGACCCTACGGAATAAAAACATCGTCATTTCGAGCCAACCACTCAATTATTTCGTGAAGGTTCAAAAAACAAGCCTCGTACCTCTAATATATGACATCTGGTTGCAGTCCTCAGATCATAAATAATTGATGCTCCCTCGAGTGTCCCAACTGCCAATTTTTGTGTCCCTCCATGAAATGTGATGGATGGAAAAGTTTTCACGAAATCATGAAGCACACTTGTCGTAGTTTGTAATACCGTATCTCTCATCTTCGGTATGTTGGGATCCAATGACTTAACCACCGATTCGACCAACGCTGACAAATTCGAATACAGGATCAATGGTCTCTTCCTTATGAACAGCGAGATCAATTTTAGATAGCCATTCTTCTCAATAGGCTTTTTACTATGACTCGAGTCGTACGTCAGTGTCGACACGCATAACGGTGTATTAATTGACGCTATTTGGAATATGACTTTTTGTGCCATAGCCTTAACCGTCACCACGTTAGTGTCAATTTCGATCGCGTACCCGAAAATCGTTTTAAGCACAGCTACCGCGTCAATATGTATTGTTATCAACAATGTTAAGGATTAATCGGCAATCAAAAAAAAAAAAAAAAAAATGATGGGGTTCTATTGGTGAGTAGGGGTATGGAAAGGATATAAGGCTCCCAGGTTTGAAATCCCCTTCCGCATAACTCAAGAGCGGCCAATCGATGAGACAATTTGCAATCGTCATGAAGTAACAATAGAAGAGATAAAGCAATGTTCTTGGCAATTCTGATAAATGATGCGTTAGGTTAGGTC